CAAAAGAAGAATATTCATATTTAGGACCTGACTTGTTTGCCACATCCCAATGAATATATACAAACAAAAAAGAAGGGAAGATGGTCCCATCCCTCATCTCCTTGGTTTGAACATTAAAGAAAATGCAGAATATCTTTGTGGTAAAATATTTATTCTATTAATGTAAAGAAAATATATATATTAAGTTCATAATTTTTTTTAACAAAGGAGACATGATACAAAGAAATAGGAAGTGCAGTATGAGATTCATTACCCTGCAAAATTCATTTTCTTTTATTCTCAAAATGACCTTCGAAATGTATATTCTATTGTAGCAAATAAAAGAGAAGGGTAATTATTAATAATATTGCTACTCCAACTTTCTTTCAATATTTGCCTTTTAACATTTAATTGAACAACTATTTTAAATATGTAAAATGAGGAGAATGAAGAAAGGATTAGACTAACAGGAAAAAATATTTTATTGCAAAAGAAATATATATTTGCTACCAATTATTATGTAATTACTATGCTTGGCCTGGAGATTTAATTTCCTGATCATGTAATAAGTGTGACAATTGTTTACACCAATTTAAAGACCAACCCACACATTGTGACATTAATGATTATGTTAGTAAAATGCCAGAGGTTGTGGAAGCTGTAATTGATTTCTTGAATAACTAGCAAAAAGAAGTCTCTCATCAAGATATTATTTGTTTTTTGCCAGGCAAAAAATAAGTCAGTGAAAGAAAAAGGATTATTGGAACTACATATATTGTAAAATAGTAATTTTATGGATCACGGAAGATATTTCAACAACAGAAGAGAAGTAAATATCCAGCATTCTAAAATGTAACAGACCTTTAATTCTCGGAATTAATTTAACAAAGGAGTTTAAATGATTTGATCACTTTAGAAATAATTCTACACAGAAGGTTTAAGGAATACATTTAATTAGAATAAATTAGGATTTCAAGAAATCAGAGAACTAGATGATAGAACCTTTAACATGTATAAATAACGTTGTAATTTCTTAACTTCATGTATTGTGAATCAATCATTTAATAAATAACAAACTATCCTTATCATTGTCCTTGTCCTTGTTGTTGTCTTATATTTTCGTAATGATAATAAATCTATCTCTAACAATGAATTCATACTAATCCCGTATATAATTATTTTCTCTTAATTTATATTAATTTTTTTTATCATTTTTTATTTCTTTTCTTTTCTTTTCTTTTGGTGAGGGTAATATTTAATAAATTTATTTAGTAGTTTTGGGAAACGTACCTCAATGCTTTACTGAGTGTTTTTGGGATAATTTACCAGCTTAATTTAATGCTTTCCTACAGAATATATATTCATAATTAAACATGTATGTGTTGTAAATAAATTTTGTGATATTTGATTAGAGAAGAAATTAACTTTCCATGCGAAAAGAATATTCCCAAAAAAATTTTTGAAAGATTAGACACCAGTAATTTCCGTCAGATCTTTTCTCGAATTTAAATTATTATATATATATTTTTATTATGTTTCTTTCTTACAAGAAATAAAAAAAATCCTTAACATGGTTAAATCCAAGAAAACTAAAAGCACTCAGGGACAAAATTCGGGGTTTCTCTTTCCTTCCAACACCATCATCTCTTCTAATACTGCCAATTCTCAAATTCCTGCAATTCCTGGCAATGATGAAAAGTATGCAAGGTATGACTTCTGTGGATGAATGCTTCATAAGAAACTATTTATTCGAGTAGATCTATATTATAAATGTGTATATATTATAATGATACACTCCTTTACATACATTTTACATCGTTTCTAATCTCTCATTCCTCAATCATGATCAATATATGCACACACAAGTATATTTAATGTTTTTTTATTTGATATTTTATTGATTACAATTAGGTTCCATACTTTTTGGTTTAAAGAAGTTATGACTAGAGAGCATAATAAACATTGTACTAATGCACTTAAGGCATTAAAACGTCACCCACATGCAACACCTTTTCTTGAACCTGTTGAACCAATCAAGCTCAACATCCCTGATTATCTTGATATTGTTAAAATTCCAATGGATTTAAGTACAGTTGAGAAAAATCTTAATAACTGTGTATATAAATGTGTTCAAGACTTTGTAGATGATGTTTGTCGCATCTTCTCCAATTGTGTCATTTACAATGGTAAACATCACCAGTTTTCTCAATATGCTAAAGAGTTGGAAGAAATATTTATTGCACAACTCTCTAAGATGCCTGGTGCTAATACTATCATTAAAGCTGCTCCTCAAAAGCCTAAAGAGGTAAATGAATCTATAGATAAATAAATATTATATTTATGTTATTGTATTACACTAATATAATTTATCTTCATAATTAATAATAATGATGGTGATGATTATAATAAGAAACCTGCACCTGAACCAGCTACAGAATCCTCCTCCTCTTCTTCTAAACCAACCAATAAATTAATCAAAAAACCTGTTATAGAGACTGCCTTTCCTTCCACTGTTAAAACTGACAATGCCGAAGCAAATAGACCAAAAAGAACAATCAAATCTCCTAACAAAGAACTTCCTCAAATCACTCAAACTTCCCGTCGTAAAAAAACTAAGAAAAATGCTGAACTCAACTTTTGTCGTTCAGTCTATCAAGAGTTGAAAAAAAAACAACATTATGCATATGCTTATCCTTTCTATGAACCTGTCAATGCTGAAAAATTAGGCGTTCCTGAGTATTACAATATTATAAAAACTCCTATGGATCTTTCCATGATAAGTACCAAATTAGAAAATGAAACATATACTTCTGCTGAAGATTTTGAAGTAGATATCCGTTTGATGTTTGAAAACTGTTACAAATTCAATCCTCCTGGTACTGAAGTTTATAATATGGGTAAACAACTTGAAAAAGTTTTTGATAAAAAATGGGTAGAAAGACCAATTCCACCACCTCCACCAACACCTCCACCAACTGTTCCTAAAGAGATTAAGGAAGAAGAAGAATCTGTTTCAGGTGATGAAAGTATGTATTTTCATTATTTGTATCAAAAATTATAATTAGCATTATATAAATTAATTAAAAATATATGTTATTCAGATGACCATTTGAAAGCTCTACAGAGGCACCTTGCTGCATTATCATCTCAAATAACTCAATATAAAAAATCAGGAAAATCCAAATCCAAAAAACCTATCAAAAAATCTATTCAGTCAAAAACCAAATCTGATGCCAATTCATCATTTGATACCAAGTCAAAAACAAAACGTCCACGTATTTCAAGCATCAATAATAGTTTTATTATTAATGAGGAAAATCAAGAGCTTACTGCACAACAAAAGGCTATCCTTTCCCAAAGGATTGAATATCTTTCTCCTGAACTTACAGTTACACTTATTAGCATAGTACAACAGAGTGGAGCACCTTTAATTGCTGAAAAAGAGGGTGGTTACGAATTGGAAATAGAAAATATAGACACTAAAATTGTTAAACAAATCTATGAATTTGTAATGACGAACACATCTGATGCAAATGAACTTAAGCAGAAAAGAATAGCTACTGTCAAAAGAAATAGCCAGAAAAATGAAGAACAAATAATAGCTTTGGAAAAAACTTTGGCTAAATTTGATAATAAATCTATATCTACAATCAGTACATTTACTAAATTGTTTTTTTTCCTTTATTATAATGTTTGACTTTCTTTTTGTGAGAATGTCTTTTTACTAAAATATTTTTATATTTATATTTAGTTCATATAGAGGCACAGTATAGTTCCGATGATGATTCTTTAGACAGTCAAAGTTCTGCATCTTCTGGGTCAGAGTCTTCAGGCAGTGATACTGTTTAGATTAAAGGATGAGATGCATCCCTAAAATTATGGGATTAGATTTTATGGTTCTTACAATTATTCAAAAAGGTGAAGTTTTGATTTATATTGTTTAAATTTTCCCGCCTCCTTTTTTTTAAATGAGTGAGAATGAGAAAAGCACATTAGATGTACAATTTTTATAATCTTTTTTAAATAACTTTTGAATAAATATATAACTTTGGGGTTTATAGCAAAATACCCTACCTATTGATGATTGATCATGCTTATGGAATATTATCTTTTTTTTAAATAATAAAACTTTTATTATTAGGAAGCAAGCATATTTTCAATATTGTTATCATTGTTCTTGGTTAATATATTAATAATCTCTTGGTGATCCCTTAACAGAGGATGTTAGCTGAAACGGTTTTGAAAAAATCAATTTCGGCAAGCAATTTCAGATTCACGATATTCTTTATATCAATAGACATAAGAAAACCACCCAGAATTTTGTTGTGTTCAAATAAAAAAATCTTTATTATTATTGAATTGAGTTAGAGTTCCTATTCATAATACAAATTCTTATTTGAATTATTTATAATATAACTCAATTAATTCGAATTATTCATTTGTTTTATTTGTTTATTTGAATCATTTACTTTATTCATTTATTTGAATCATTTGTTTTGTTCACTTTATTCTCTAAGTTGAGCAGACTCGAGTTAAAACCTGAACTTTCAAGTTCAAGAAAATAGGCTCTTGAATTGTTTTTTAGGTAATGTGCATAATAAATAAAATAAAAATATTAGAATTACTTATGTAACGTCAAGCTTGAGCCTTGGCTCTGTATATGAAAAATATCTGGCAACTCTCTTTTTTTCAGAAGTTAAAAAATTTTTAAAAATACGGATTTTTTAAAGTATTATTTCCAACTCTACTCCACATATCTTTTGGTGATATAAACATTAATTATTTTTATAATAATGAATTTTTTGGATTCATCTAATTAATTGAAGTATCATCTTGTCTATACAATTTATTTGAAACACCAAGTAAAATTATTAACCGCTTGACTTATTATATAAATGATTCTATAATAAAAGAATGATGGTAAAAACAATAATATCGGTATATATATATCTAATTTCAAAGGCAACACAAGCGATTTTTTAATCAAATTGTGTTACATTATTTTTAGTTAAAAAAAAATTATGACTACTCCGAATGATCCTTGGGCTCGAAGAGAAGCCTGGCGCAATCAATTTGGATTTCGTAACAATGCAAGGCTTTCTTGGCCAGGTCTATCTTGGGGCATTGGAGCTTTTATAATTTATCTTGGTTATGAAACACTTACAAATCGTATTCAACACAATAATCATGATAATAACAACAACAATAATAAACACAACAACAACAAAGATAGTAATCATTGAATTAAAAATCATTTTTATTTAAGTGAGTTGTAAAAAAAAAAGTGATTTTTATAATTTATTCAAATATATATATAGTAATTAATAATATTAATTATTATTTTTAAATGAATCTCAGATTACTTACTAATTGCAAGAAAATAAATTTTTTAAAACATAATTTATTTGGAAGCTTTAAATTTAGAAATTTCAATTAAATATTATATCAAATGTCCAACTATATAGATTTTTCTATTATAGTAATTACCATTTCTGCTGATTCAGACATTGATGATGATTCTGCTACTGGTTTAAATGATGATGATAAGTTGACTACTAATACATTTTTTGTCTTTTTGAATGTAGCAATGCTTTTGATTGGACATTTCCCATGGCTATTTCTTTTTTGATCTTTTATTCAGCTCATGATATCAAAAGCTATGCATGAGTTTTGATAAAATTCTTAAATATATAACATGCATCATGAATGCCTATTTCCCATAAGGTTATCATATTTTGATAATCTGGTGGTTGTCAAATATATACTACCCTTTTTAAATGGTTTCACATATTTCTTTCTAGTTTCTTTAAATTGAAAATATTACTATTATTATTATTGTTTTTTTTTAATATTATTAATGTCTGTGAAGGTGATGGAGGTGTAGGTATTGATTAAATCTAAACTTTGAAAAATAAAAAAAAAGAAGCGTTTTTAGTAATTCGTTGTTTGATACTTTTGCAAACTCCATGTTGAAATAACAAAAAAACCAGCAAGAAGCTTTGTGTATTAATAAAAGTTTTTCTAGATGTTAAATTTAACTCATTTCGAGCTCAGACAATAATTGCAGCTCAAACGCGGTGTAATCTTAATTTTTATGCATTTTTATATAAGTTTCAAAGCCAAAAATTGTTCTTTAAAAATACATTTGGAAAGTTCTCTAGCAAAAGTCGGCGAGCAAAATTAATTACACACATGTTTGTGATATATGAACTAAATGTTCCAAGTTTTGTACGAATTTCATTCACTATTATACTAAGTAAACAGGGTCTAAAATTTTAACCCTTATAGGATATAACATTATTATTATTATTATGATTTTGGACAGGGAGTCCCAAAATTGATTTTTTCTAGAGAACCTCCTGTTTTATATATACAACTAATACAGTAATTATTATTATTTTATTTTGCTTCGATATCATAGATGGTTTGAAATTGTTATAATCATTATTATCAAAAGGATGTGTGTAAAGTAGTTTACTTGCAACGGGAAACAAAAGATTTTTTTAATTATACACTTACCATCCTTTGACTATTCCATGAAATTTGCATAACAAAAAATATCAGTTCTTATATTGGATTTACTCTCGGGTTTTATCTTTATAATAAATCAAGTCATTTGATGAAGTTTTCTTCAATTTATTCTTGAGGTTGCTTTTTCTCAAAGTAACCTTGATCATGGACTTTGTTTTGGGCTTGCTTGATTGTGCTTTTCCATTCTTTGATATAAAGTAATTTTTTTGTAAAATGTCCAGCTTCTCTCTTCTTTGCTATTTGTTATTTGCCTGTTGAGTTTTTTTAGGATTGAAATAATTAACACTTTTTAAAAAATAAATTCAGTAAATTCGATCAGGATTGTATGGTGCTATAAACACACCATTTCTACACGTGATTTTTAAAAGACATTAATTAATTCCAAAAAAATAACTAACAACTAAATTTTATGTTATTATTATTGTTTTTAAATCATTAGAAAAACTATTATGTTAGCATTAGATTTTGTTTTTCTTGAAAAAACTCGAAAATTTACTCATGGGTCTTAGAAATGGGATTAACAAGCCAATGTAATAAAAAAGATATGAATCTCGTAGAAAATTCCAATTAACATCATTGATGATGATGATATCTGAAATAAATAAATATAAAACATTATTTGCCTGATTTGTTCACAGAATGTGCAAGTTATTATGGAAAAAATAAAAAATCTTTATCCTTGTTTGGTGTGCCTCATTATCATCAGGGTAGACATTTAATAAAATGGAACATATTATATACAGAAAGGTTCTTTTTATGGAATATACAGAACCCTACCAAAAATAGCAATTCATTATATAAAAAAGGAAACTAAATTG